CAGGCTTCATAATGATTAATAAACTTCTATCTGGTCAGACTCCAGGATTTACAGTATCTTTAACTGGATAAGAATCAGAAAATCTTAGTGTCAATTTAACCGAACCAGAGAAAGTATCTACCGGAAAAGAATCAGGATAAATCATTGGTCGATTTAAATTGAACCTGTAGAGGTCTTGATTCATCTTTAACTGGAATAGAATCATAGAAATCTTAGAGTCAATTTAACTGAACCAGAGAAAGTATCCACCGGAAATGAATCAGAATAAATCATTGGTCGATTTTAACTGAACCAGTAGAGGTCTTGAGTTATCTTTAACTGGAATAGAATCAGAGAAACCTTAGGGTCGATTTGACTGAACCAGAGAAAGTATCTACTGAAAATGAATCAGAATAAATCATTGGTCGATTTAAACTGAATCGGCAAAGGTCTTGAATTATCTTCAACTGGAATAAAATCAGAGAAATCTTAGGGTTGATTTAATTGAACCAGAGAAGTCTTTAATTGTCTTTGATTGGACAAGAATTAGAAAAATCTTAGGGTCGATTTAACTAAACCAGAGAAAGTGCTTACTGGAAATGAATCAGAATAAATCATTAGTCGATTTAAATTGAACCAGTAGAGGCCCTGAATATGATCTTCTGAAGAAAATGATGTAATAGCTCTTCGTCAGAGGTAACCTTTGAAAAGACTGGCAGGTCATAAAAGTAGTTTGTGATTTTTGTTGATTGATCTTTCCTGAAAGGTAAAGAGTTAGTCATATGCAATGTCATGATGTATGAAATGCATTGTGTAATGATGTTCTCAAAATAAATGAGATTGTGTTGAATCCAATATGTATGTGCATGCCATGATGTATGAATATGAAATGCTGTTGCAAAATTTCCTAGTCTGGGAAAATAAAGCAAGCAAACTGATTTCTTCTGCTTGAGTGATGTCCAAGAATCTGATCATGATGATTGTGGATAAGTGGTTTCCCACTTTACTGCAGGTGTGTGAACCTGGAACTTATAAAGCAAGCAAACTGATTGCTTTTGCTTGAGTGATGTCCAAGAAAGCGTACATGACAACCTAAGTCATGCTAAGAGTCATGACAACATTTGTGGATCTGTAAGGACAATGTTCAGATATGTCCTTGAAGAAGTCAAAAGACCCGGAACTACAGTATCTGGTTCAGGTTTGTTTTCACAAAGGAGCTTTTAATTATCCATGGCAGGGGGAGTGAAGTACTTGTGTATGGGATATTGTTGCATTAGTGCAGATGTTGTGAAGCTTGCATGTTGTCCAAGCTGGTAGATATTTTATATGTCTCTTATGAGGTTAAGATGTCAGACAACATGTCGTGACATTTTAGTGCTGAAGATAGTTGGTTTGCTCCTGTCAAGAAAAAGTTGTTTCTAGTTATGTGAAGCTAGTTGCCTAAAACATGTTCTTACATGATTCTTAAGTGGAGTCTGAAGGGCAATATTGTTTATGTTTGAGAGAACTTATTTTTCTCTACATAATTTGGAATGACTTTATGTGAGATGTCACACATATTATGGTATTTTGATATTTTGATTTGTGCTAGTCAAAAGGAGTGTACTTAGAGTCCAGTGAAAGGAAATATGTTTATGCTTCATAACAATGAAAATTTATGTGAAGCATCTTGGTCTAAGTTTTGGAGAAAGCAGACAATGTTTGACTGGATGTCAGGATATTTATCAAAACATGTTTGATATAGATTGTGAGACCAAGCGCGCGTCAGAGGGAAGTGCATAAAGTTGGTTTGACTATGCATGTGCATGTATTAGGACTAGTTGGTCCAGAAGAATCTGCCCAGAGACATTAAAGGCATTCAAAGCAGTATTGGACGGTGCACACTGATTTTGGTGGCAATTTTTCTCCTCAAATAACGCTTCCTTTTTTACCAATACCATTTCTACAATCAAGGATCCTTATTTCATAAATAAATGCCCAACTATTTATAGAGGTTACTCCTTTCCTTTTTCACCCTGCGAGTGTTTGGTATTTCCATAATTCTTATGGATTTTGTTTGCATATGGATGAGTTCATCTTGAGTCTGGTTTTGTGAAGGCCTTCTTTGCCAATTTTTGGCTAAAAAGAATGAGAAAGGGTTTGCTCAAATATTCAGTCTGGAGTGTGTATTTCTATATGTTGTACACAGATGTCGGGTAAGATGTTCAATGTTGTGGTTGTGACATTGTTTTCTGACTTGTGATTTGAGTGATGAACACGATTGTGACTTGTGTTCTGAGTTACCAGGGGTGGTGGTTGATTTGCCTAAGATGACTGGTGGTTTCTGATTAAGGAGTGGTTAAGGGTTCTCTTATGCCACCATTGGTTCTCTCTTATGCCATCATTGGTATTTTGTGATAAGAAGAGGTTCCTGGGTTAAGGAGGAGAGAAAGTTATCTTCTTCCTCGTGTGCACCAAATGATTTCAGAACTTTCTATTCTCCTATCCCGAGGTTACTATTCTTTGGTGTTGATATTATGTGTCTCTTATCCCATGGTTATTGTTCTTTGGTGTTGAGCTTCTGTGTTGCAATGAAGTTGTTATGAAGAAGATGTCGAACATGATATCCTAACATCATTGTGCATGCAAAGAGATGTTCACCCATGCTGCTATGTTCAATAGTTTCTGAAGACTACTGTTAATGATTGCAATTTTTGTTATTTCTGTAATCTGGGTTATAATGTTTATTTATTTGTTTTAGCCAAAATTTTCCAAAGGGGAGATTGTAAGTTCTCTATTTTAGGACTGCAATTAATTTTTGTAAAACAAATATAACAACAACATGTTATATATGATATTTTGTCTTACTAAGAAGAAAAGGTTGAGCGAGAAGTCTTATTATATGCAGAAACATGTTGAGTTGAAATCTTTCAACATCTGGAGCAACATGTCGGACAAGATGTCCTATGTAGAGTGACTCAACGTCATGACTGGTTCAGCTGGATTGTGTATCATGTTAAAGTTGTTATAAAGATAAGATGTTTTAAGGATATTATATCATCTTATGTGGCACTGATTTGTAGGTCTGGAAGATTCAAGTTGGGAATCAAGAAGAATATTCACTTTCTAATTATGGAGATAAATTAGGAAGGTTATGATTGAAGACCTATTTTGTTGCAGAATCTTCTGTAGGGTTATAGCAACTGATATGCTGTGATTTGAAGCCCAAATTCAGTTGGGAAATAGGTTATAAATAAAAGCATTATAACCTAGAAAAAAGTACCAAACATGAATGAAAAGGTATACTTATTAGGGTTGAGTATGTAATCCACTCTCTAGGAGACTTGGTATATGTGATCCACTTGACATGTGAGTTGGACTGTGTTATAGATTTATAATCTCTATTATTGTTCTCCTCGAAGCTATGAAGCAAGAGTGAGTATTGTTCTTGGAGGAAGCTCTTAAGAAACTCTAAGTATGTGTTCTTAGTCAAGAGTCTTAGCTAGGTATTGTCATGGAAATAAGTCTTCTAGTTTGCTGTCATAGAAGTGTGTCTTTCTATTATTGTCCAATTGTTGTATCTGATTGATAAGGGATTGAGGAGGGCCTCATACCTAGGTGAGTCTTAGGTAGAAAGTTAGCACGGATAATGGTTAAGTGAGAAGTTGTAAACAGATAAGTTTAGCTTCTGATTTATACTATTATAGTGGACTTTATCCCTGGCTTGGTATGTCTCCAGAGTAGGAGAGTTGCTCCAAACTGGATTAACAATTCAGGTGTGTTGTTTACTTTTTAGTACTGTTTTTGTATGTTTATACCTTGCCCTGTGTGTTTTATTCAGATTAGATGTCTCAACATGTCATAAGACATATGAAGTCTGGTATACCAGAATTTCAAACATGTTTTTCAAATTCATGAACAACATGATGAGACAAGGAAACTCTAGAAATTTGAGGACTCAACATCTTGATAATTCCTTCCTAAACACTTTTATTTGCACTGGATGTAGAAATAATTTCATGCAGAGATTTTGTTTCATGAATTAATGCCTTGAAAGTATATCTTCTCACAGGTCCATAAAGAGGGCCACATCCAACATATCATCATCAATGCCCAAACCAATTTCGTCAATAGCATCAATAGTAGGAATGAAAATGTCAACGATATGTTTCTTAGCAAACAAATTGTAATTAAAGTTAAGTACACTAGGGGCAACACCAACTCTGTCCTCACTTGTGTTAATATCATTTTTTAAGCACTCAATGTACCACATATTAAATAAAGAAGACCAATAAAAATTTTGAGAGTGCATGACTCATCATGTTTAACAAATTGTTCAAAAATATATTCTTCAAAGTTAAAGGCCGAACGCCAGTTAGCCACTCCAATTTTGTACAAAATAACACACTTGACACTCAGATTTTCTTTTACCAGCAATCCTTTTGCAAGACAGTCTTCATCCACATTCTTAGTGATCTATCTCACAATGGTCTTCAAAGGAGCTCGCCAAGAAGAATAAAGAAAATCAAAGATAATAAATCTTACCATAAATCAAGACATTTTGCTAAACAAACGGTCTTAAATAAAATATGTCAATCAAGTATAATAAGAAAGTATAGCTTTTGTATCAATGTAAATTTATAAAAAAAAATATATAATTTTATAAATATTATTTATTTTAAATATTATTTATTAAATTATTGAATTTTTAAATATTCTAATGATAAAAATGTTATTAATCAATATTACAGTACCTTTGTTTCCCTTGCTCACCCGTACTAATAATGGATCCTTTGACAAAAGAAGGTGACGAGTGAGTTCCATTAATTATAAAAAGATTTGTACGAATGGGTAAAACGGTACTCACAAACCTAAATATATTTCCTCATTTACGTCATTCTAAAGTCCCTAGCAAGCAAGTTTCTCTTTAGTCCCCATCCACTTTGTATGTATACGAGCACAAATGTTCAAAATTTTTGGAGTTTCGGTCTCCGTTTCTCATGTTGGTCTCTCTGACATACTACAAATCTAAATCTACTGTTATGGAGCATCGTCTGCTCAAGGATTTTGACCTTCAACCCAAAAATCCTTCCGCCGAAGCTCTTCGGAGATGGAGATTCGTCGTCACTCTCGTTAAGAACCGCCGTAGGCGGTTCCGCATGGTTGCCGATCTTGAAAAACGATTCGAAGCTAACAGATTAAGCACGGAATCAAGGTTTTTTTCTCTTCTCCTTTCTCTAACCTTATCAGTAATAGAAAAACAATCTCATGTTCAAACTTTTATATTATTGTATTTTCAGAGTTGAATTAGAAAAAAGAACTTTCAATTTGAAGAGATATAGAGTCTTTTGATGCATAAGATATAATAGATATATGATAGGAGATAAAGTAGGATAAGAATAGAATAAAATATTATATTTTTAAATTTGTTACTTTATAGCATTTTTTATTTTTAATATTAAATATTGTTTATAATATCAATTTGAATGAATAAAGGAAGGTTGCTTTTAGTAATAAAAAGAACAAAAATTAATTTTACAATAATAAAAAAGCCTTCATTTAGTGTCATTTTCTATAAAGCCCCGCACGCAACTAATTCCTCAAGACTATTATAGAGACAATAATGGACAAACCAAATCTCATTTAATGTCTATTTGTAGTTAGTAGAATGGAAAGAAAAATAATAGAGAAACATTGATATAATAAAATGAATTTCCATTGTCATATAATTAAATCTTTAAAAAATAATTTTTAAAGATTTGATTATATTAATTTGTTCTATTTTATATTAAAAAAAATTAGTTTATGAATATAATTTTTTTTAAATTATTTAAAATTGTATTAAGTATATGAGTTTGAATGGTAAACGAATTTCTACTAAGAAATGAAGGTTCGAAAAATATTTAATTCTAATGATAAATAAAAATAAATCTTTTGATTAAAAGTTGAATGATAAACTAACAATAAGCAGGTTACAGCTGTTTAATTATTTAATTTATTATATTTTCTTATGAAAGTTATTTTTTTGTGTGTACAAAATGTATTTTAAATATCATCTTTTTACCTATGGACCAAACAATAATAATGGCTAGACAGTCATCCATATATATTAGTCGTGAATATCAAAATTTTAAACTCTGATAACGATGTCTTAATATTCGTCTTATAATTGATTAATTTAATTTTTTTTAATATTTAATTACTATTTCGATTTTCACTTAAATTTTTTTCTAAAATTTTTATCAACACCTAAATTTAGTGCGACCCAATAGATTTCTACTAGTATAACTGATTTAATTATATAAATGGTTCGATAGTGCAATCAAGTTGGTGATAGGTTTAATTTTTTGGTTTAATCATTTGGACTGGACATAATAATTTTTTAACTCTTAAAATTATAGATTTATTATCACTATTTTTTTATAATATTTTTAATATTTATTATTATTATTATTATCTATTTTTTAGTGTAATAAATAACTAAAAGTATTATGAATAAATTTATCATCAATTTTTTATTTGACTTTAACATCCACAATTAAATGAACAACAATTTTCTTATGAAAATGTAACTAGTAAAAGAAGAATGGAGCGGAGTCTACTGAATTATAAAATAATTTTTTTTTTTTTTTTAAATTTAATTGTATTCAAATTTCAACGTCCCTATAGGAGATAAAGCCATGAAAATTTCCACGAAATTTCCGCAGCAAAGTATGCTATCATTGTCTGACAATAACGCAGTAAATTTGATAACGCAATGTGACAACTAGTGGGAAATAAACCAGAGAAAGTGGAACCAAATAGTGGAGTAAATAAACCAGAGAAAGTGGAACCAAATAGTTGATATCACGACTATTTTTTCAAAAAAGAATGAGTTTGATTTCTAAATAATTTTTTTAAAAGTGTTTTCAAAAAAAAATTTATCATTGAAGTGGCTTGTCCTTTTTGAATTAAAAAAAAAAAAAACGTCTCTAATCATTATTATAAGTAACGAAAATCTTTTTTGATTTATTGAACAATTGATGTATCTAATCATTATTATATATTTCATATACATTAATAGTTTAATGAATCAAAATTTTTTTTTGTTGTTTATAACAGTAACAAGAGATTGTACGTGAATCCATAATAATTTTCTTGACACGGAAACAAGGTACTCAGTCACCTTTTGCAGTCTATTAGGAAACAACTTATGACATACAATAACAACTTATCTATCATTGACTTTTTGTTGGTCTTGAATTGACCAATCACTTCAAACGTGTTTGGTTGTTGAATGGTTGATTTGATTATAACAATTAAAAGTTTAGCATGTAAAACTAGTCGCCATATAGTTTTCATGTCATCTGGTTTCAACAATTGTGGGTGTTGGTTGGGAAAAGTTAATATTTTCTTGTCGGTATTGTACTTGGTTTATCCCACGTTTTTCTCCAGTAAATTTACCAGCAACAATAACCTAGTTACAATAACAACATTATTGATACTAGTATAATCTTAAGCTCTAGTTGTACATCAATGTCAGATAGCTTTCAAAAATAAAATAAAACAAGTCAAGATATAATAACAATTAAGCTTTATCCCACTATGTGGAGTCGTCTACGTAGATCAATTTTTGCCGTCATGCTCTATATAAGAATATGCTTATATCCAAATCGTTAATCTTGAGATTTTTCTTAATAACTTCTCTTATAATTTTTCTAGGTCTTCCTCTAGCTATTTAGCTATTTGACTCCTCTTTATATGATCTACTCTCCTTACAATACAATTCACATGTCTTCTATCTACTTACCCAAATCATCTAGGTCTATTTTCCACTATCTTTTCTATTATATGTGTTACTCTAACACTCTCTTTAATATTGTTATTTTTAATCTTATTTTGTCTAATCTCATCACACATCCAACACAACATTCTCATTTTTGCTACACTCAGTTTATTGTTGATTCTTAACCGCCTAACACTCTGTCTCTTAAAAGAACGTAGGTCTTACCGCAGTCGAATGCAAGTTCTCTTTCAATTTGAACGATACCTTTGTTTCACATTGTTGAGAATCGGTTACAAATCAATTAGTATTGATTTGTATTCAATTAGTCATAAGTGTAAATTATATTATTACCTATTGTGTATACATATTTTGCATATAAATATACATCATGTGTGATCATATTCGACACATAGAAATACAATCACAACATGGTATCTAGAGTTGGTTGATCCACTGTCTTCTAGAGAATATTTTTTTCGTTTCCACAAAATATTTGTCCATTCACGGCACTGCACGAGTGCACCACCGCTCCATACGACTTTTCCGGCAAAGTAACCATACTGCCGACATCGTCTCCTTCTGATTGGCCAATACCCAAAATCTCCGTCGCGATCTGCCTTATAACGCGCTCTGTCGCCACCTGCACGTGGATCTCACGCGCCGAACTTCCCTCGACGTGTGACAGTGCGTCCCACCGCTTCTCCGTTGCCGTTTTTGTTACTGGCACCGCCTTCCCGTGCTCTTTCCATATCTACTCTCAGTTTTTCCATCCAAATAATTAAAAATCAAGGGAGATATTGATCTGCCACTTTTACGAAGGTTCCACGTATCCTGTGTGAGAAACTCACCGAAACAACCAACTATAATATATGGGCTGGTGCTGTCAAAATATGGTTTCATGGTCAAGGACATGAAGATCCCTTAACTACAAAATCAAAAAATATTACCGCCGCCAATGCGATAAGTAGAAACAAACAGATGCTTCTCTATGCATTGTGTTATGGTTTTCCATAGAAACTAATCTCCAAGCACAATACCAAGCATTTATCACTTGCTGTGAGGTTTGGGAAAAGGCTAAGAAAGTGTTCTCCAACGATGTCCATAATCTTTACAGTGTCATCATTAAACTCAACTCTTTGAAATTGGAGAATATGGATATGCAAGCCTATATCTGAGTAAGCTTGAAGCGTTAAAGGAAAATTTCACAACCCTCATGCCCTTTACCAAAGATCCAACAACTTATGCTTAACAACAAAGTTACTATTTTATGATTGTGGCACTTGTCGGGCTACCATCAGAGCTTAATTCCGTCCAGAATAAGATTTTATCAGGATTCAATGTTCCTAACTATGAAGCAATTAGTGAACAACTATCGCGTTTGTCTACACCTCACACCTTTGGACCGGGTATCCACTCCATCTCCCACTGAATCATCATCTGCTCTTACTTTTCACTATCATGGTCGTGGTGGACGAACTAGAGGAAGAGGTGGACAACGTCATGATATTAGTTGTAATTATTACAATCGTTATGCTCACATTGAAGTTGATTTCCGCACAAAGGCAAGAGAACAACGACGATAACCACGAGTCACTATCGTCGCTCAATTGGGCAACACTCAATACATTACAATTCTCGCCGCTAATTACAATGATTTCCTCCAATTCAAAGCAGCCCATCAATCATCATCATTTGTTGTTGTTGCTCAGTCGAGTAATCTTATAGCCTTTGTATCTACATATTCTCTTGGTCATTGGGTCCTTGACTCTGGTGCCTTTGATCATATGACTGGTAAAAAATCCCTTTTATCTCACTTGTTTTATTCTGATTCTTTGCCTTATGTCACTGTGGATAATGGTTCTAAAATCAAAGTTCAAGGCCTTGGTCAGGCACACCCACTTTCAAACCTGTCTTTAGAGTTTTTTCTTTACATTCCTGGTTGTCCTTTTAATTTGATATTTGTTCACAAGCTTACTGGTACTCTTGATTGTTCAATCATTTTTAATGATAATTCTGTTTATGTCCAGGATCGACTTACAGGACGGACGGTTGGAGCATGGAGTGAATATGGAGGATTATATCATCTATCTCTATCGATGGCATGTGGTTTGATTGCTTCTCAAGACCTTACACATCAACATTTGAGTCACCCTAGTCTTAATAAAATGCATCTTTTAGTTCCTGGTTTTTCTAAGCTTTCATCATTTCAGTGTCAGTCGTGTCAATTAGGCAAACATACTCGTAGTACTTACTGTCAACGAGTAAATAAAAGTGTTGCATCACCTTTTGCTTTAGTTCATTATGGTATTTGGGGTCCTAGTCGTGTGAAGTCCACCTTAGGATATTACTATTTTGTAACTTTCATCGGTGATTTCTCACGATGTACTTGGTTACTTCTAAGTGAAAAATTGTTCAGATGTTTTTCATATATTCCAAGAGTTTTATGCTGAAATTAAAAACCTGTTTAACACTTCCTTACTGATAATGCTCGTGAATATATGTCATCCCAGTTTCAATCTTTTTTAACATCACAGGGAATTATTCACCAATCACCATATGCTCATACACCATAATAGAACGGTGTTGCTGAACGGAAGAATCATTATTTAGTTGAAACCGCATAGACTCTTTTACTTCACCACAATGTACCTTCTCATTTTTAGGGTGATGCTCTCCTTACAGCCCATCACCTTATCAACCGAATTCCTTCATCGGTCCTTCAAGATCAGATTCCATACTCTATCTTGAATCCACAACATGACTTTTACCCCATTCCGCTTCGCGTCTTTGGTTACACATGCTTTGTTCATGATCTTAGTCCAGGTAAAGACAAACTCCCTGCCAAATCTCTAAAATGTATTTTTCAAGGCTACTCACGTATACAAAAAGATATTGTTGTTTTTGTCCTCAACTTCAATGGTATATTGTTTCCTCTGATGTTACATTCTTTGAAGGTTCCCCATTTTTCTCTACTTCTATGTCACCCGATGAGACTTGTAACTTAGATGCTTAAGATGTCCCTTCTGTTATCCTCACACCCATTAAACCTCCGTTGCAGGTCTACCAGTGATGGACACCCCGTCCATCGGAAGTTAGAGATGATATTAATCCAGTAACACCATCTTATGCCCCAATTGTTCCTCCAGCTACGTCACCTGAACTTGACCTCCCAATAGCATTACGAAAAGGTATTTGATCTCATACTCAAAATCCTAAATATGTCTGTTTTTTAAATTATGACCGTCTCTCTACTTCCTATTAGGCATGGCAAATAAACTTGTCCTCGCCAGGCCCAGGCCGCCCCCGCCCCGAAATTAGCGGGGGAACCCAGTTTAATTGGGGGACAGGTGCAGGGAAAATCAGGTTTTTATTTATGGATGCGGGTGCGGGGGCGGGTGATGCTAGTATTCGCCCTGCACCCGCACCCGTCCCACACCCACCAACTAAATTTAATTTATTTTTAATAGTTTTATTACTCATTTATACTTTTTAATATTATAATATCATTTTTATTAAAATTATTATTTATTTATTAAATATAATTTAAATAAAAATATCAAACATAAAAATGCTTTTAAAATAATCAATTATTTATTTTTATTATTGATTTTTATTTTTATTGAAAAAAGTATAAATTTTAAAAAAATTAAAATTTTACTCGGTCGGATGCGGAGCGAGTGCGGAGAAATCCTTGTCTTATTGGGGGCGGGGAACAAATATTAGCCCCGACCGGGTTTGGAGGCGGGGGAGGGTCTGGGTGGCGGGTGCGGTTCTAGGTGGGCTTAAACCCGCCCCCGACCCGCCTTGTTGTCATCCCTACTTCCTATGTGTCTTTTGTGTCTGCTTTGGATTCCTTGTCTATTCCTAAGTCTCCAGGTGAGGCTATGATTGGTCCCAATTGGCGTTAGACGATGGTGGAAGAAATGACTGCATTGCATTTAAATAACACTTGGGATATTTTTACTTTACCTTCTGACAAAACTAAAGTAGGATATCGATGTGTTTATATAGTGAAGGTTGGACCAGATGGTCAAATTGATCGTTTCAAAGCTCGTTTAGTAGCCAAAGGATATACACAAATATTTGGCCTTGATTATGGTGACACTTTTTCTCCAAGGGGCAAGATTAGTTCAGTTTGTCTCTTCCTTGTAGTGGCTTCTATTAATCATTGATCGCTTCATCAATTTGACATTAAAAACGCCTTTTTACATGGAGAATTAGAGGAGGAAGTATATATGGGCCAACCTCCAGGTTTTACCGTTCCTGGAAACTCTAGACTTGTCTATCGACTTCGTCAGTCTCTTTATGGGCTGAAACAATCTCCACGTGCTTGGTTTGGTTGCTTCAGCTCTGTCATGATACAATTTGGTATGACTAGATGTGAAACAGATCACTCGGTTTTCTTTCTTCATTCCTTCATTGGTTAGCGCATCTTTCTTGTGGTCTATGTTGATGACATTGTTATCACTTGAGATGATACATAGGGTATCCAACAACTCAAAACTCATCTTTTCAACAACTTTTAGACAAAAGACTTGGGTCCACTCAGATACTTCTTGGGTATTGAAGTTGTTCAGTTCTCATCAGGCATTACAATTAACCAATGTAAGTATGTATTAAGCATCCTCAATGAAACGGATATGCTTGATTGTCGTCCGATTGATACTCATATGGATCCCAACGTCAAGCTTCTTCAGGGTCGGAAGGAGCTGTTGAAAGACCCGGAAAGATATCGACGTCTAGTGGGTAGACTTAATTATCTTACCGTCACTAGACCAGATATTACTTTTGCAGTGAGCATTGTGAGTCAATTTCTGAATGCTCCTTGTGATGCTTATTGGAATGCAGTTATTCAGATTCTCAGATATATAAAGAATGCACTAGGAAGGGGGCTATTATATGAAGATAAGGGTGATGCTAAAATCACATGTTATTCAGATGCAGATTAGGCACGATCACAGTCGGATATGAGATCCACTTCCGGATTTTGTGTTCTTATTAGAGGAAATGTGATCTCATGGAGGAGCAAGAAACAAAACACAGTTGCACTATCTAGTGTTGAAGCTGAATATCGTGTTATGGCATCATCATCAAAGGAACCTGCGTGGCTTAAGAATTTACTCTCAGAATTTAGGTTGTGAGACCTTCAGGATACAACACTAATATGCAACAATCAAGCGACATTTCACATTGCATTCAATCCAGTATTTCATGAACGGACCAAACACATAAAAATAGATTGTCACTGTGTAAGGGAAAAAGTATTGTCAGGACAAATAACCATAGAGTTCATCAAATTTGAAGATCAATTGGCTGATATGTTTACCAAATCTCTTAAGGGTTCTCGAGTAAATTATATCTGTAACAAGCTCGGATCATACAATATATACGATCCGACTTGAGGGGGAGTGTTGAGAATCGGTTCCAAATCAATTAGTATTGATTTGTATTCAATTAGTCATAAGTGTAAATTATATTATTACCTATTGTGTATATCTATTTTGCATATAAATATACAACATGTGTGATCATATTCGACACACACAAATGCAATCATAACACACATAAAATCTCTAAAGCCCTCCATTTCAGCCACCCAAATTGAATTCGATGGTATTGAGATACATCCAAATGAGATCGCTTCTATTGTTGGTGGTCAGGATTATAGGAACTTGAGTAATAATGATGGAGTTGAAGCCGTTGCAAGGAAACTGTCGGTCTCTACTGATGAAGGTGTCAGTGAAGCAAGTATAGATTGCAGACACTCTAGCCACTCTCATGGTTTGTGCTATAATTTCTATAGCAGCTAGAATAACCGTCCGTATGGTAACATAAATACAGCTAAAGCTATAGCTAAGGAATGTGGTATACTTACCGATGATGGTGTAGCCATAGAGGGACCGAGCTTTCGTGACTTGTCCACTGAGCAAATGAAGGATATCAGGTTATGATCTCATTCTATATTTTGTGACCATCAAGTCTCTTGAAATGCTTAACTTTCCTTTAATTTGGTATCAGGTTGAAAAGACCCCCAGTTGGAAGGGGAGAAAGCTTTATCACCAAAACTATGTGGAGGAATATCATTGGACAGTTAATTGTTCTCGCCATTCTAAATTTTGATGGCAAGAGGCTACTCAAAATTGATGGTTCAGATGCAACTCAAGTTCTCAACACTTTGATATTCAACTCTTTCCTATTTTGTCAGCTACTAATGTGTCAATATATTTTACAGACGTTATGTTACTCTTACGGTTCCTCGTTGGCATAGCTAAATCCTACATTGGTACAGCACATTGTTTTGCACTTATTGTCTGTTATTTCCCTCTGTCTCTATTTGTTTGCAAGTGTTTAATGAGATAAACACCAGAGAAATGGAAAAGATAAACATCGCATTTCAAGCGGTGATTGTTGAATTTCTTGGAGCATTTGCCAGCACTGTGCCTCTAAGCTGGCAATTCTTATGATGCACTTCCATCTGCTCCTGAGCTAGCATAGAATAAATTATTACAAGAGTATGGTTCCTCAATATTTTTGTTCTTATCTAATTCAATGTTTTTAGATTTTAATTAAATTTGAACATTTACAAGAATGTTTATTCAAGCTACTTTGATTTTTTGGCTTTTAATACAAAGATCTCAACACTAGCAAAATTGATAATGATGTTTATAATTCTTGAGCAGAAAGTAAGGATCTCTTGAACACTATTGCAAATAAGTGCATTTTTCTTGTAGTGTACAATAAAATTTTTATGCATCTCTAATGTTAGAGAACTATATTTATATGGTAGAGTTTCTTTTAATTCAAAATGCATTCATTTGTAATATAATCAACATTGAGCATCAAACTTGCCATGATCATCTAAAAATCAAGTTTAATTTTGAAACAGATGCCTCTGAGATCGTCCTATACACAATTTCAGTTTCCTGTACTTAAAGAGTCATCCTTCAATTAGATCATAATAATGTACTACTATTGATAAATAAATATATATGTGCTAGATACAACATAATGACATTATAAAACCACTTCCCCCGCGCTGTCATCGCCCCTACTCCTAGTCACGTTACAATTAATCTTAATGATGTAAATAAACTACAACAAAATACATGAATATGACAAAACTACAACAAAATACATGAATATGACAAAACTACAACAAAATACATGAATATGACAATCGGTGAATGTGAGGGGATTTGTTCATCTAAACCTCCTTTTTGTTTCTCCATATGCAACAACTCCCATTACAGTAACTGCATAGCCAGCCATGCCAATAAAAGTGACAGGGTTTCTGAATATCAGTATAGAGATAACAACAGCTACAGCACCTTTTGCATTGCCTAATACCTGGTTAACAGAATTTGACAGTAAATTCAGTAAATAAGTTGCACAAAATAACAAAGCTAAGTTTGTAATAGGCGCACCTAACATGAATTGTCCAGATTTTGCGTCTAATATGATATGTAAAATATTGATAGAAGCTACAGACCTGGAGTGTCAAAGCACTTGTATGTTTTGTCACCAGGAAGTTTGTTAAGTTTGCTGCATATGCTGTGGCGGAGTTAAGAAGAAGAAGCACGCCCATAAATTTATGTTCCTTTCCAAGTGCTAATGTGACATCTATAACATTTGGCTCCATGATAAGCGCTGCAGGCAACAAAAGTACAACTGCAATCGGAGACATATACAGGAGCAGATTCATCGAGTTCAACTTCTCCCTGATAGGTTGGAATGAATGAAACTGTATAAGCAGCAGTTCTTTAACACATATCAGACAGAAATTATCAGAAACAAAACTTTCAATTAGAGAGTAACAAACTGCTAATAATAGTAAGAAACTGCTAATAATAATAATAACAAACTGCTAATAATAGCAGCAAAGAGCTGAATTATAAACATCGGCCTTTAGAACAATAATATAAGATTTTAATTAAAAAACATACTCTTGAATTACTATTCATAATTACTATATATTTTCAACCAATATCATCTATAGCTGCATAGTTTGTGAAGATATAATTGACAGAAAAGAAGTTAGAAATCACAGGTATGATCCAGAATATTTTACCCTTCAGAAGAAAGTAAAATGCCTTGAAGAACAGATTTGAAAGCTCTTGCAGCGGTTGCGCTTAGGCACATAAGAAATCCGAATACGTGAAACCCTGGCTCGCCCTGCCATAACCAACAACAAACTAAGGCTCGGCAGAATAAAAATAAGTATACACACAGAAACTAGAAAGGATATATACAACAAGCTTGTTCAATGACAAATTAAATTATAATGTGGTGTGGAAATACATGAAATTCCAAGATAGAAGAGATGAAACCGACTAAAAAGAGCCTAATTCATGATAATTAATTCAGTAACTGAAATGCTAATTCTTTATAAATTCCCGAAAAATGCTATTATAATAATAAACCAGAAGAGTGCAGATCCAGAATATTAAAGGACCAAATGTCAGATTTGCAGTTCTAGAAAATTAAAACTCCAAATGTCAGAGATTTGCAGTTCATGAAAAACATAGATCTTATAAACAACATTCCAGATCTGGAGTGGCATTATGAGGCAGCATGACATTGTTAATCAAAACCAAACTTTTGTATAATCTCATTCACTCATAAACATGTATCAATCAACACATTTACATCATAAGCAAACATAATAAATCAAATTCACTGAGCTCATAGATGATTGATTCCATAAAATCAAACAAAAACTGAAAAAGAAGGAAAAAAACCATACCCCACTTGCAATGACAACACCAGCAACAACAGGAACAAGAGCAGCATATGTAATCCAAGCTTCTCTCTTAAAGGTAGCCAAATAAGCAAAAACAGCCGTGAAGAAAGGTGTGGTTGCACCCACCGCTTGGTTAAAAGAAACCGCCAAATACCTGAGAGAAATGTTGCCACCAACCACCGACGCACAAAAGACAATGCTCAAAGTTGCAATCTTAAAGAACTGCGACCTTGATTTAATCATCTGTTGAGGAACAACCTTGAAGAACACAATGGATATGTAGCTAAAAAGAGCACAAGCTGTCATGTGACACATTGTCAGGAAGATTGGGAACTTGAAACCATAATTTGACAGAAGGTATTTGTTGAGAAGAATTACACCAATGTTTGATGAGTACCAAAGAGACACAAGAAAACATATGAACATAAATTCTTTGTTGTTTGGAGACGCCATCTTCCCTGATTTTCCTCCACTTCCTCCCTGGATTTGTAATGTGTTCATCAAGCTGTCATCAATTTGAACTACACAAATAAAATTCTAAAAAAAAATGTTCTTTTTTCTCTCTTTTTACTACAGGAATTACCCTTATTTATATCTATGTCTCTCTTTATGGAAATGATAAAAAACATATAGTTCAAAATGTAACACTGTAATTTCATTTCATCAAACACATGGTGAGTGTAATTTCATCAAACACATGGTGAGTGTTAATTAAGATTCAAAGTTTCAACGTAATTAACTTACCCCACTATCGTTATCTTTCACTGTGCCTTTGTTTTCATTTTCAATGGATACTTTGGATCTCATGTTGTAAGAACTATGTGAACTCATTGTTTCGTTAGAACTTTTATTGGATTATGTGCAGGAAAAAAAAAAGAAAAAAAATCTACTATTTACAATGATGAGTTTGTTAAACAAAAAAAATTCACCTTTAAAACATTTTCATCCCCTTCCTTCAACATTTTGTGATGTATATAATGATTTGAAAGCTTGTGTGGAATAGAATTAACTTAGGGTTTTGTTGATGATATTGCTAATGAAGTGTAGCATTAAATTTGTGGTAGGGTTATTTATAGAAAAGTTTATTTTTGACATTTTTTCAAGGAACCGCTCAAAGCATTTGCTAGTTTTGAGATTTCGTTTTGGAGTTGAGGATGAAAATAAAGTGTAATGTTATCTTGAATTTAACCTATTATTGCGTTCTTAATTTGGCACTAGTTTACAATTGAAAAATGTTTTGGATAATAACTAGAACCGAAAATAATGAATGGATTAGTAAGGATCTTGGCAATCGATATCACAAGAGGATATAAGAGTAAAATTCTTTTACTCCAAGTCCAATACTTTGATGTTTAAATACTTGGATTTGTTTCTAAATATATCTTTCAATTCTCTTTGGTATTTTTATTGACTTTTTGGACCAACATATATTTTCAGTAGGGTATTATATCATTCTTAAATATTGACTTATGATTCTTTTATTTTTTATTGATGAGGTTTATCATGTTTGTCGCAAGACATGTTTGGATACATGTGAAAACACACTATTCATTGCAAATAGTTTATTGGATTCAATTATCGACATGATTTGGTTAGGGATGTCATATTTCATATATTTAGGCGTGTTGGAGTATCTGTGAAGAAAGAATCGACTGTTAATTTATTAACTAAGATCGACTTTTAGGCCAACAAATATTTTGGTGTATGGGTGGGTAGGAGGGAAACATGCATGTGTAGACTTGATTGAGGTTTCCTCACACGTAAGACCGAGGGCTGGAGATTTTACCGTGGAATAAGAGATTATCGTTATTTTTGGACAAACAATCACTTAGTTGTAAATTTATTACTTGAAGTACAAAACTAGTAAATCCTGGACATATTGTGTGATTTTCTCTTTAAAAATGTGCACATTAAAGTTGTCAAGAGTTTAATGTCGAACGTTCAGATATTTGCTTAAGTAAAAGTGAAAGTGATGTTTAAAAGAACGACAATTCGAATGTGTCAAATTGGTGACTTAAACTATAATGAAATAAATAAACTTAAGAAGAATGAAAAACAAATTTTATTTGTATAAGGAAAAGATGGTATGCAGTATCATATATTTCCTTTTATGACTCGTTTTTCTCATATGTATGGGTACTTTGAGTGCGTGTGAAGTTACAATGATTTAGTCACCCTTTTACAATGTATAAAACTGATATTTATACTATTCTAAAACAATCGTCGATGATGGTTATTCGTCAGACGCTTCGGCGCGTATTATCTGGTTTCAAACTTCAACATTTGTTATGCTACTACATGTCTTCCAATGTTTAAATGCTGACAACTCATATCATGTATCAATAACTACCTTGAACTTCCACAATAATTCTTAGTCAATGTTCGATTCATCACTCCTATTGACGCCTTTCTTGACTGGTGTCATATACTCAAGAAAAATACCAAATCATTTCTATTTACAATTAACTCTTGTCGATATAATTTCTTAGTCGAGGTGTCTTCTCGTCGAAGGTCCTCTTCAAGATTCTAGACGTGTTTCAACATGATCTTGGTCTTATGGATTTTCTCCTGAGGATTTTCCAAACCATATTTGACGTGTCGATCAAACCTTTCGGCGTAGTCTATTTTCTTGTTGAAGCTCAATACTGGATGTCACCACTTATCTTTTCCCAATAGTAGCGCCTCGAAAAATTATATTCGATTCAATGAAGTCGCCGCCGAGATTTATTTATTCCAAGAAGGAAAGAGAAAATATCAAATAAAACTCACAAAGAAATGAAATGGTCGTTGAGACCAAAGAGAGGGTTCGGGAGTCGGTTATGCAAGGGGAAGGTATTAGCACCCCTCACATCCATCGTACTCGATCCATTTAGTTATTTTGTGTTCGTGTTCGAGAGAATAGCCAAATCTACTCTCTACTATGAAACCCTAATTTAATGAGAACTTGTATATAGATCAAAGTGCGAGAATAAAAATGAAGCGAATAATTGCGAACATTCACGGAAGTATAGTAAATAAATCGATAAAAACCCATATAAGATGGCTCACACAAACATAAATTGTAAAGCACGTGTCCTAGTTTCTAAGTGTAAGCTAGCAAAGTGAACTGGCCTTGAAGCGACCAATTGAAATAATTGATCGAATATGAGTATACTGTAAGAAGGCCCAACCAACGTGGAAGTGTGCTTGTATGGTCATTGCGACGCTTAAAAGCTTTGTCGACTTACGGGATGAAAATGATTCACAATTGAATATTAGTTTGAAAAGTTCTTTGGTTATGTACATGAAAATAATGATGGAATAATCAAGTAAATTCAAACAAAATTATTAGAAACTTTAGGGGAGAGGGATACAATGTTTATGAATGGGGATTAAAAGATAAAAGAGAAAGCGATAAATTATTTACATCACAACGGGGAATGGGATACAATTTATCGAATCGGGAATGAAAATAAAGAATGGTAATAATCTATTAGTTAAACACCGATTAAACTAATTAATCAAGTTAAGAAAAATAGATTAGTAAATTAATCAATTTTAATTAACAAACATCAATTAATTAAAATGATATGTAACTAATAGATTAAAGTGAAAATATAAAGTGGAATTGTAAAGATGGAATTAAACCGATGAAACTTGAATCACTTAAGAAACAACAATCAAAGAAACAATGTTAGTAATCACAAGAGAATAAAAATGAAATCAAATGAAAATTGCATAATGTAACATGAATACTTTCAAGAATCAAGCAATTGTGTCTCAAACTCAATCGACATTGCATTTATCGTTTATTCCATATCAAGTAAACACAACGGTTATTCATGAATATTAACACAAATGAAAACTAAAAGTCAAGGATTCATATTATTACTCGATGCAATTTTAAGACATGGGAAATCGAGTTTAAAATAAGCTAATATCAACAAAGCCAAATTCGGGGAAGCAACTATGTGAACCTATTGGTGCTCAATAAAATTCATTCCAAAAAAAGTTCAACACAAACGGAATACATAACGATGCTACAACCAATTTAATCTTTTGAATTTAAATTAAATTAAACAGCAACGCTATTTAAAATTCCTTCAAATTAAACCAATCAAATGACATAACAATAAACTCAAATAACATTTAAAACCAAGAAGCATTATCAATACAAATTCCAAATCGAAAACCTCACGGATCTATCACAAACAAAAGCATAACCTCAACAAACTTCAATATTCAATTTCAATACAAAAATGGAAGGTGTCTGCCCCTGTTCAATCTTCTTAAACCTGAAGAGTTAGATTGGCGGATCCGCCTTTCGTGACTTGAAGGTGGAAGATGATTGAACACTAGAGTGCTCAGAAATTTGCACTCGAAGATGTATTGAGAATGGGCTTATAGATGCCATTTGGAGGAATGATGGTAAACTCTGGAGGAAGTATCAAGACAAATATTTGGTCAATTTATACTAAAACTTGATGTTTCACCTATGCAAAAAGGGTTAGTAAAATGCAGGTGCATGCATGATATTCACGAGATGAATGAGATCATGCTAAATGAATTTCGTATGTATATGCTATGATGTATGAATGTGAGATTTATGTTTGTCTGAGAAGATAGATACCTGACTACTGCTGAGGAATTTTGAATCCCGGATTGCTGTTGGGGATGAATAGTATACATATCTTCAAACTTTGTTGAAAGGATGCTTCCGCTGGGGAATATCTCTTAAATGTCAGATGTTATCTGGTCGGATCCAGGCTTCACAACTTGCTGAGGATAAGGAAGTCAACGGATATCTGGTCGCAGTCCAGGTTTCACGATAACTTACTGGGGGAGAAATAAATTGACTGTTATCTGGTCGGATTCCAGGTTTGCAAAAAAATTCTTGGGGAGAGTGAAGTTAAGCTGCTATCTGGTTGGATTCTCAGCTTTACAATAACTTGCTGGGGATACAGAAGTTAACAGGTAGGATTCCAGGCTTTGCAGTAACTTGCTAGAAAGGATGAAGTTAAACTAATATCTGGTCGGGTCCAGGCTTCATAGTAACTTGAAGTGATAACTGTTATCTGGTCGGGTCCAAGCTTCACAGGTTTTGAGGTGGATGAAGTTAATTGCTATTTGGTCGGGTCCAGGCTGCATAAAAGACTTGTTTGAAAAGACAAAGTTGAATTGATATTTGGTCGGATCCAGGCTTTACAGTAACTCGCTTGGGGAACTTAATTGTTATTTGGTCAGATTCCAGGTTTCACAATGAA